TCCAATATCGCCAAATATTAAATTTCGCTATTTAATATTTCTCCCCTTTCTACCTTTCGCCGGACACAACTTCGGCCCCTTCGAACATGTCTTTTTCGTTGTAGTCTTGTTTGATTCACAATCAAAAACACTATTTACAGTGTTATTTTGAGGCTTGTACCCTCAGTTCTGCTTCGTCATTGTCGCTATACGGAGTCACATGGGAGAGTGCGCACGAACCAGATGGATCAGTTGTGCAAGATCCTTTGGTGAGGTCAGATCATTCAAAGCCGGAGTGAAAAATTTTTCAAAATAAAAGTTATCTTTGTACAGTATTTTCAGTTTGTAAAATAATGTCGAGAACAAATATTGAAGAAGGAGCGATTCTTTCAGCGGAACAAGAACATGATGAAGAACCCACGTTTTTCACACATTGAGGCCAAACAAGAAAGGCCTTCTAAACAGCGGTGTAGACGCAAGTTGTCATCGTTCGAAGAGTCGCCTGACGACGAGATCTCTGACACAGAAGCAGCAGACTCTGCCGAAACAAGTAGTGAGCGAGAGGGCGACACGCCAAATGGGCAAATGATTTCGGAGTCTGATGATAATCTGCTGAGCGAAATTGCTCAAGAGTTTGATGGTGGCGATGACACAGGGCCAAACATAAGCGAGAAACTGACATTGTCAACAAGCGTTGGGCTGAAAAGCTGGATGATTCAAAATTTAAATCCAAATTGGAAAAATACAATAGACCAGCAAACTGCACTCGCCTCCTTGTCCCTAAGGTAAATCCCGAAATTTGGGCGAATTTAAGCCACAACACAAAGAGTGCCGATTTACGTATCATAAATTTTCAAAAAACGCTCACGAAAGCTGGTAGCGCATTGACTAAAATTACAGATTCCCTTTTGGAATTGCGTACCAAACTCAGTAAGTCAGACACTGAACAACAGAAAACTCTGGGTGAGCTCTTTTCGGATAATGCTGATGCATTGGCGCTTTTAGGGCATTTCAATATCGACCTATCGCTGAGAGTTGATTAAGTATGGAAAGCCATGACTGTCTTAAGTAGTTAATCGTCATTATATGCGGTGGTTTTGTCATTATATGTGGTGCTTTCGTCATTATATGCGGTGCTTTTGTCATTATATGCGGTGCTTTTGTCATTATATGAGGTGGTTTTGTCATTATATTAGGTGCTTTCGTCATTATATGCGGTGCTTTCTTCATTATATGCGGTGCTTTTGTCATTATATGCGGTGCTTTCATCATTATATGCGGTGCTTTCGTCATTATATGCGGTGCTTTCGTCATTATATGCGGTGCTTTTGTCATTATATGAGGTGGTTTTGTCATTATATGCGGTGCTTTCGTCATTATATGCGGTGCTTTGTGTTCATTATACGAACGTAATTAGCCCGCGATAGTTATGTGCAGTCGCATACAACGTTTGACCCTGGGGACGAGGTTGTGACAAACGTACTTCATGTAAGATTGGTATACTTCGTTTAAGATTTAACAACATGGTCGACATTTTACTCTGAAAATCAGAAAATGGAGGGAATATTGCAGCAACTTGGCTTAGCTAATCTTTTAAGTCGGTTTGTAGACGAAAGGGTGGATGAAAAAATTGTTCTAAGTTCGACAGATAGTGAGCTTTCTCGCCTAGGTATCTCAACTATCGGTGATCGAGTTCGATTACGCGAATTGTGCAAA